AGTAAAATAATAAATTCATATTACATATCATTTAATATTTAAATAACAAACATGTATGTAATATATGAGTACTTAAAACTATACAACAAAATTAATCTAACTCTTATTATTTTTATTTTTCATGATGATATAAGCAATAAGTAAATAATATTAATATAATAAATTATATAGACTTAATTTAAAAAAAAATTAATTCTTTGTACTTTATTTTAAAAAAAAGAAGAAGATATTTACATAATATAACTATGTTTATAAAAAAATTTCAACTTTCATCACTATCAATGTCTATAGAACAGTCACTTGAATCAAACTCCGAGTCTTCAGTACTATCATTCGAATCTAATTCTAAATCTCTAGTAGTATGAGTTTCTATAATATCACTCAATAAATTCATTGCTTCAGAACATAATGCATTATTTTTCTTCTTTATATTTTGTGTACTTTTAGAAGTAATGAGAGGGTCAGAGGAAATTAAAAACATATGTAAGATATCAGTATTGGTGTCTATTCTTGAGGTTTTACGAGTGTTTTGTCGCCTAAATCTTATGTAGTCCTTGTTTCGTGCTTCTTGCGCTTCTTCGGACAAAATCCCGATAGGAAAATGAGCAAGCTGTATGGCTCTTGAACCATGTACCAAAATCTTATGGACGCTCGGAGGCATTCTATACCAGGGATACAATTGCAAATATAACTTTAAAGTATCTTTTGCATAATTATCGTATTTTTCAGAGTTCACATTATAACTACACGCCAAAATACTTAAAATAACTTTAAAACGTTCAATAAGTATTTTATTTAACCCAGTTATCTCTGAAACTTCTTTTGCATGTTCAAAAAAACGCCTTCCTATATTACCAGTATTAGATGTACCTTTGCCTTGCACAACTTTATCTACTTTTATTCCTAATTTTACCCATAGACCATTTTGTATTTTCTTTTTTTGAATAGCCATTTCATTTTTTTGTTCGACACTTGCCCTTTTGTTTGACTCTAATATACCTTTCTTATATGCTATGTGTAGCATGCATTCTAAACATTTTATCCATGCATGTAATGGGGATAGTCCATATTGTAAATTATCATCATTGCATTTCAAGCTATATATTATCTCTAAGTTGTTCATGTCTTTAGGAAAACATTTACAAATATTGCAGGTTTGACTTGATGAATTACATAAAGTGTTAATTATTTTTCCATCAACCATAGTAAGATAGAAAAAAAAATTTATTTTAACGGAATTTGGTCCTTCAAAAGGTTTTAATTCGTTTATTTCTTTTTTTATTTTGCTAACTTCGCTTTTGGTATTAAAAGCGGTTTCTTTTTCAAATAAAAACTTAATTGGCCGACAGTATCGGGTAGATGACGATTTTTGATTTTTCCATAAAACGCTTATAGAATCACTATTATTTTTAGATCCTTCAAGCTGTAGAGGAACTAAAGAAAATAAAAATAAATTGCCATCACATTTTTCATTCATACTAACTATTCCACTTTCAACCTCGGTTTCTATAAACTTTTGGTGATATTCAGAATGGCCCGAGCTGCCGTCACATCCCCATTTAAAATGTAAATGTAAATTTTTTAATTCATTTAAATTTTGATCACTTATATTAAGAGATTCTAATAATCTTTTAGCCGTGTGGTTAACTAAATTTTGTAAAGGTATACTGGCCCCATATTCATTTACCTTATAGTTATCGGGATAACATTTAATTTTAGATTCTTTAATTTTATTATAAGAAGGATATATGTCAGCCTTACGTTGCTTTGACCCTTTTCTTAACATTGAGTAGCTAAACTTTGTTAATTTAGCGTCAATTATCAAAGCCAACGCTTCATCTGCTGTATAAGGTTTAACTACAGATAATCTATTATTATAAGTGTGTTTGATTTTTAAGGCACGTTGTGGAGAATATTCTGTACTTTGTTTAAGCAGGTCAGCTGCTGCGCGATTTCCATCAGAATATAAAATTGTTTTGGTTGCAAAAATAATTTTATCTTTCGAGTTTTCATTTAAAATTGATTTTATTTTTCGTCTTTTAGTCTTATCGGAACATTGAATAAATGGTTTAATTGGCCTTCCAACATTGACCGTCGATGTTGAAGGTAAAGACATTTCGGAAGTTGACAGGTTACAATGAAGTTCACGTGGTGGTAGACCAATATTAAAATTCAAATTTAACCATTTTTCATTATATTTTCTAAAAACATTTAAAGTGCGTTTTGATGATGTCCATTTTTTATTTAAAGAATTACAGTAGCCAGATATTTTATTTTCCAGAACCTTATCGTAGTCTTCACACATTGTATCCCAGTTCAGTATTTTAGATTTTACGAAATTAAAGATAATTTTTTTGGACGCCCCGGAAGATGGTTGTAAAATTTTACAATTATTTCGTAACACGTTGAACAAATCGTTATTTTTTAATGTAATTTCTGAAAGAAAAAAAACGTTTTGCTATAATATTGGCGGTTTTTGGCAGTTGAAAATGAATTAATATTCTTTAAGGTACATAAAGGTATAAGTCTATAAACAAATTAGCCTCCCCTAATCCCCCCTTTTATTTTGGGAGACCATACTATATTAATTTACAACTATACATATAATTTATTTTTATTTTATGTTAAATCATGGTATACAGAACTATAAATATAAGAAATGTATATTCATTTTGCTTACCTTGTACATTTACGGTATTCATTTTGAAAAAAATAATAGGTGTCACGAATAGTACAGTATAATTATTTTATATTTATTATTTTATAGAAAGAACGCAAGCATAGACGAGACGTAACGACTGACTAGTGGTTAATGACCTATATCAGACCAATTTCCTGTAATTAATGCTATCGATCGCTGCTATTCTTATCATGTATACTATTAAGATATACTATTTTCAAACATTTATCAGTTTTTGCTTTACGAAATTTAATGAGTTTTGTCCACCTAAAATAGTAATTTGGCCCACTGTGCGCGGCGGACGTATCGATCGCCGAGGGCGCCGCGTCGTCGCCGTTTCGACGGTTTTCTCGAGTTTTTCGACTAGAGTCGCGTGTAGCAACTCTACGAGACGTCCGACCTCCCCGCCGGCGACGTATTTGCGTTCCACGCTAAATTTATAGCCGGCGAGGGTACCTACTTTTTCAAAAACGAGTCCCGGGGAGGAGCGACGTCGCTTAAACGAGAGTAGGTACCGATTGGGTATCGAGTAGGTACTGCTATATACAGGCATAAATACGTGCGTCTCGAGGTTCGATTTTTTTCGCAAAGCTCGGGTATTATACGTCCGAGGGCGGCGGAGCCGGTCGTCCGCTCGCCGACGCTGTCGGATCGCCAGCTCAAACGCCCTTTGATGGCCGTCCAAACGGCGTTCGCCTTTCGCGAGCACGGCGACGCGGCTTAAGAGTCATAGAATTGACTCTGATTTTCATCTGAGTAGGTGGCTAGGTTGGTTAGGCGTTAGGATAGGTGACTCGAGAGTCGTGGGTTCGAAACCGCCGTCTGGGATTTTCGGTTATTTGCGACTTTTCTTATTTCTTTCGAGTTTCTTATTTTTGAGTTTTTTTTTTTTCGTCACATTTATCATTTTTAACAAAAGTGTTAATTTTTTTTTTAAATTTGCATTATTATATTATATATATTATTATTATTCGTTTGACGATATTTATTGGGCAAAAAAATAATTAAAATTAACATTTAATTAATACTTGATTTTACTGACGCACCTACATGTTTCTTTTATTAACACATTATAATAACGTATAACTAACCTACGTGTAGTACCTACTTGATATATTACAGTTTTTACGTGATTCCGATTTGGTTAAATACTGCTACAGATTATAAATACTATATTAAAAAATAGTACGACTGTAATATGACTGCTTCATTTGCCGTTTTTTTCGAAAATTCGAGTCCCGGGGTGGAGTAGTGTGTCGGAAACGAGAGTATGTATAGTGTATTCATTTATAGATACCTACGTTTAATAGGATAGTATTGCATTTCAATAAAATTTGTTATTCACCAATATAATTATCTATTTGTTAATTTGACTTAATTCTCATAATTAAATAAATATACATGGTAGGTATATTTTAGAAAATATCCAATCAGAAAATTAGATTTTGTCGACTTATTTGTTATAACCGCGAAAACATAACAATGATTACATTGATTACAGTGAAGCCTAACATAAAACACCTGATAACTGTTCTCTATAATTATCAACAAATACAATTTTATTACCTCCTGTATACTTTTTCATATTTGAACGGCCGTTTCGAGCACTTTTCGCTGTAGGCGGATTGTCCGTTCGGGAATCGGATTTCACCCGAGATGACTGATAACTAGACACTCAAACTCAGAATCCGAATTTCCGATTTCAACACACATACGAGAACCGAACACACACGCCCGGTGCATGGTCTGCGATCCGACGTAGTCGGATTGCCTACCTGACTAGCTACTTGCATACGAGCGACTTACACCCCCACTGCATCCGATCCGCCGCTGGTGGATTGTCCGTTCGGGAATCGACTTTCACCCGAGATGACTGATAGCTAGACACTCAAACTCAGAATCCGAATTTCCGATTTCAACACACATACGAGAACCGGACACACACGCCCGGTGCATGGTCTGCGATCCGACGTGGTCGGATTGCCTACCTGACTAGGTACTTGCATACGAGCGACTTACACCCCCACTGCATCTGA